TAGGACACATGCTATGCTATAGCTATCTAAATGTTTTCGTCTCTTTCCACCACCTTTTCTAATGGAAATTAATTATGTTTAACTAAATAATATATTGTTGAAACTTATTAAGTAAGAGTTTGAGAAAAGCATTGACACTGAACAACTATGGTAAAAATAGCATGTCTGTTATGCAGAGACGTATTGCCAACAGAATTACAAATTATTATTATGAACCTTTTTTAAGTTGACAAATAACGATTTTCGGAAATTTGAATTGCTAACATTTATATAATAAAACAGATCAATATAGATATGTCTTGTATTATAAAAACAAAGAGCCATATAAAATTCATATTATAACTCACTAGGGATTCGTATTGCACTATCTGATTGAGAAAATTTGCATTAGTTTCAACTTTGATGTGCATATTTTTTAAGAGAAGCAAATGGAAAACCAATAATGGAAAAAGAACTACTGTTAAATACCAATCATTTGAAGCTTTACGTTGATTTCTTCTAGTCAATAAGTCTATACATTTAGATTGTTTTTATTTAATAATTAAGAATGATTGAATTCATAAATGAGAACAACAAATAGATTTGAAGTACAGTACATTTTTCTTCAGACAAATAAGAAAAAGAGAATATCACTGATTTCTATCATTTGTCAAGCCAAAATTGAATAAAACTGTCTGAAACATAGATACATTCGAATTGACAGTTTTTCTTTTCAGTACCAGCAAGTTTTTCCACCATTGTACTATTGGATAATGAATTTGGACTTGCAAATTTAATTGTCATCGTCTCCAGTTTATGCATATTGCAACAAATTTGACAAATAGTCAAAAGAAAATTGTTGTCATCTATTGATTGAAAATGTAACATTTTATATTCCTGAAGATAAATGGCTTGCAATGACAATGATACACCTAATCGAGCAATGGTATTTAAAGTGTCGTCATCATCATCTGGAGTATTATTTAGTTGATCAACAACAAGTTTTTCGAGAGATGAAAATTGATCAATTTTATCACTAAGATTAATTGTTTGCACAAGCTTCAATAACATTTGTGAATCGATGCGCAATAATCGTAGATGTGGCATCCAGTTGAGCCAAGTCATAGTCGTGTTAATAAGTTCTTCACCTATACAATACATTTATAACGGATGTCTCATAATAAATCCGTTATTTTAGAATGAAAACTGCAAAATTATTCAGAGTTACAAATCAATCCAATGCATAATGATGACTATTCTTATTCAGAATTAATAAAAAAAATTAAATCTGCTCTTTTTCTTACAAATATTCTTGTTTAAATGAACAATCTTTTAAAACAAAAAATTCTACTTAAGACTACTCTGTAAAAAAAACAAAAGTTGACCGACTGAACCTTTTAGGGTTCTAGATTTGGGTGCCATTTTAAGAACCTTTTTTAGTTCTAGCCGAAGACGCAGAACTGTTTAAAGTTCTAGATTTTCTGGCTAGAACTTTTTTAAGTTCTGAATTTTTCGGCTAGAACTATAAAAAAAGATTCTTTAAATGGTACCCAAATCTAGAACCTTAAAAGGTTCAAGGTCTTGTCTAAAACCTTAAAAGGTTCACTATGACACCTTTTTTTTTTAGAGAGTAGTGAACAAAACTGAAAGAAATTTTCGTATAATTACTATTCTGAGTGTTATAGTATGGCAACAGTAGAAATTCATCAAACGGCATCATATTGTTTTCATCTTGTTCCAGTTGATAAAAACCACGATGTTGAACATGTATTCTATGTCCTAGTTTTAGAAATAATTTTACTTTGTAGAAAACTCAAGTATTGATAAGAAATTATTTACCTCGATAAGTTCCTTGTTTCAACAAAGCCACAAATGATGAACTTAACGTTTCATTTTGACCAATCTTTACAGACACTTGATAAGGTTTTGCAAATAGCATTGGTACTAAATCATTAAGTTGATATCCAGTCTGATTGAATTGTGTATACATGATACCCGTCGTAGTCACAAAATAATCAGAAAATCCATAAGGTAATGAAAAAATGACATAAATACAATTCAATTTATCATAATACAATCCAATTAACATAGATAGCCAATAGTCTGAAAACAAAATTCGATTAATAGCTACTAAATTTCTAAATGAACTATTTATATTGAATTACTATCGAAAATCAAAAGCGCAAGAAGATACTCGATATTTTCGGCTACTGTTAGTGGTGTAGAATGTTGATAAAGACAATTTTGATTAACCCAATATTTCTTCAACATTTAATAAGCTCTAGGAATGTTCATCGATGTACTTATTAGTTAACAAACTGTAGTTTTGGACAGAAAATTAGCATATAATATAGATTTATTATTGCTCAATTGCTTGAGTTCTTCATACACACTTATTGTGAATTATGTCTTAAACGTCGAAAGAAAAAAATTTGAAAATTTCAGTCACCTCTGCGGTTATAGGTAAGATTCTATTGTCGATTGTTTTTTCTAAACGCATATTGAATAATTAAAGTTAAACTAAGTCTTGACATGTTGATGACTTAAATGTTCAAACAAATAATCATGTCGAAGATACACGCCTATCTTTCTCTTCTTTTAGGCATTGTCTTTTGTTTTATGCTTATTCAATGATCATAACCAAAATTATTAATCACACAAAGCACTGAGAATGGAGCAGATTATTTCATGATCAGATAAAGACAAATGATGTTGACTTACTGGTTTGAAATGATTTAATAAAATAATCCATTTGTTGATTACATAAACAAGCTGTTTCAATAGAAAAATTAAATTTTTCTAACTTTGTTATATGAACTATAAGTTCGTTGAAAAGAAGATTTCCATCAACATATACTAATGAATGACAATAAGCAGGATCTTTGTGAATGAAAGCTAAATCAAGATTCACAAGACTTTTACGAAATAAGAGAATAAAGTTGACAACACTTGGAAAATATTGTACAACACTATGCACTCTAGAATATAGATGAATGCACAATTGAATGTTTACCTATCGAAGTTACTTACCGAAAAATTAATTTTGTTAAATTGGTGCATGGACAAATGCAGGAAAGAAACAGGTCATTGTCATTTCTTGTAATATTCTTGCAAATACGAACATCTGGAATAAAGAAAATATCTCTCATACTATAAACTTACAGATATTACATATTTATATTATAGGCTGTATGTCATTCTCTTTGAAAATTCCAAAAAATAATCTTTTATATCATAAAAGACTGTATAAAGTACGTAAACTAGTCCATAGATACATCAGTCATACATTATCTTTTTTCTCATTGTATGATTTTATATTTAGAGTTGAAGATAGCCAAAGAGGAAGACACGCATCTGGTTCTGTGCAAATAGACAAGCATGAAAGTTACTTGAGGCTCGGTCTTGTTGCACATAACCAACATTATTCATAATAATGTCAGATATTATTTTAATTTTCATTCTGGCAAGGTTCATACTCAGATGAGCAAACATTTCTTGTTGGTTTTTCTAAATTCTTAATACTTAAATAAGTTTTTAGTTTAGATTCGTTAATTTTCAAGTCCAAATATGAATCAATTTCGTACCTTTTTTACACTAAAACAATGTTTTTCATTTTCGTTTTTATATTTTTCTCAATTTTTCATTATCCATATCGAAATAATTTGACTTGAATCAGCTAAATAGAAAAATCTTAAACATTTATTTAATAGGTTATTGTATTTTTTGTGTGTGGAATCATTTAACTTAATGTTAAATAGATAATCTACATGATCATTTTTATAGATTTTCTCCTGTGCTAAACTTTGCCAGAATAAAGAATCTATCGTGAATTAAATCATTGAAAGTGAAATATTAAATTCGAAGAGGAAAATATTCTATCAGACTATAATACTGACAATTAGTTTATAACAATAGTTTTGATTTTTTTTTAATTAACTTAAATTTCAAACGTTACCAAGTGTTAAGAGTTTTGGAAGAAATTGAAGTAAATTTTTCAATGAAATAAAATCCTCGATATAAATTCGAAGATAAATAAGAGAATTTTGTAGTTGATAAAAGAATGAAATTGGTGCATGAAAAATAATGCCATTCTTTCTATGATCACTATGAAGAATACATCTCTGTAGTTGACTGATTGTTCCATGAGCAAGAAGATTTGAACATATCAAAGATGATACTTTCTTCAATGAACATTTTTTAAGTGTCACATGTTGTAGATACGGAATAACTACCAGATAAGGTTCAAGATCATCACTATTCATTTCAGGAACATTGTACAAGACAAGTTGTTGGAGTTTTGGAAACATTTCCAAAAGTGTTACAAAACCTACTGAAAAAACACAAAAATAAGGAAAATAAAAACTTTCTTTTCATTTTTATATTAAGATCCTATCAGTGTAAACGAGAGTATGTAGAAATTTGGTAGAAAGAAAAAGTGCCGAAAGTGAAACATATCGAAAGTTCTGTTAGTACAGCTTTAGCACACATTATTCATGTGTAAATCTAAGACATAGACTCTGCTACAGATTATTCATGCGGTGTTGATGAAAGCGTGTGTTGAAGTTACATAAATAGCTCTTTCGATATTTTTTACTTTCGGCATTTTTCCTTTCTATGAAATTTCTACCATCTAAATAAGATCATAAATGATATGAAAAATTTTGATACTTCAGTTTTTAACAGGAAATCTCAAACTCAATCATAGATATCGAATTAAACAAAGATTTTATTTGGAAAAGTATTACAGTTTCAACCTGAGACTAATTTTAGGAAAAAATAAAACAAAATTGATGAAAGAAGAATCAGTATAAAATGACTACTGTGTTGCATCGACGAGTTCTTGTCAAAAAAGTGTTGATATCATCTTTATTACAAAATAATTTTAGGATAAAAATTTCGTGAAATCCACGAAAAACTAATGGCAATGATTACAAAATAAACTCTACTTCGTTGTGTCTTTAAGATTATCAAAGTCCTGACGTGTACAGAAATGAAACTAATGATAATAATTCAAAACTTTGTTCGTTCTTTAATTTATAATTTAAAGTAGAGATTGACATCTATAACTAACCTGAACGCATTTGTGTAAAAATACGTAGTTGGGAATAAGAAAATCGATGACCAATTTTTAATGTTTCTACATTCAATCGGATTTTATTGAATAAATGAGAACAAAAAAGTTGAAAAGATGATAACGATGCTTCACGAAAATTGATACTTTTATAACAATATTTTTCTAATAGACGTGTGTATCGTTGACATTTCATAGTTCCAAATATTCTAATTGATTCAACATGACCTAAGTATGTCCAAATAATCAAAATAAGTTCATTGGGTAAACAATTGAAACAACTTGCTATTGATAATGATTGAATCTTGATCATCATAAAGTCTAATTGATGATTAACTAAATGATAATAATGTGTATCATCAATCTGTTCATTTACCCAAATTAAAAGTTACGTTTTATTTATCTAACATCATTTAACATCAACAACAAAGCTATTGAGTGATTATATATATTTAAAATAAAAAGTAAGAAGGTGATTTTCTTTTTTAATTATAATATTTTACTAAAGTCAAATAGAAGTCGAAAAAATATACTTTGACGAAGAAAATGTGATCAATCATTTTCAGAACATTTACATATTGATTAAAATAAAATAAAGAAAATCCGTCAAATGATTTTACTTTGTTATTAATCACTACGTTGCAAAATAAAAAGAGAGTGTAGGTATAACTTTTGAAAAAAGTTAGTTTATTCTCGTGATAAATGACATTAAATCCGATGCAATCGATTTAATGTAGAATGCTGACAATAACTATTACAGATAATACATGATTTCTGACAAACTCCTGTTCAAATCTAAAAACAACACTTCGGAAATCTTTCACATTTCTTCTCTTAAATAAGATGATTCTCTTTATTTAATATATTGCATATGGTTATTTTGGTAACATGAATATATTTATCTTGCTAGATTATGAAATAAATCGTTTTCATCTTTTACTTACGAGGAAATGTTGGAGACATATTAATTATACAGTATGTGCTTCATAGTAGAACGAATATTTTTTCCATAGCATTATATTCTTCGAACAAAATTCATTATTGATATATATTTGATACGTAACAGTTTTCACAATTAATCGTCTTATCTATTTGACAATATTCTATTGTTGACTTGTCTATCGATGTGGATCAACATATGACATATATATATATCTATCGAAAGTTCATTCAAAGGTCAACAACAAACATAGTCAAGGAAACGAAGAGAAAGTATAGAAAATGAGAACATATTTATATTACATCTAAATTGGCATTTTTTTATTTTTTGTATCGATTGAAAATCATCTGTCGAAAATAGATAATGAATTTGACTAATATTCAATAATATTTTTTTGTGAAACCTATATTAGTACAACTTGACAAATAGAAATATTCTCTTTTGTTTAATAATTATTTTGCTTTTTTTTCCTTTTCTCTTCTGTCACCTTTTTTTCACAATGGTCACGGACACCGTTGAACGCGTTAAATAAATGACAATATCGATCAGTTTCTATATGTTGATACATATTAAGAAAAATTTTTATTGCAAAAGAGAATCTAGGAATAATATGAATATGTATATATGAATAGAATTTCACGAGATTTTTATAAATATAAATAATTGAGTTTACAAAGAAGAAAGAAATAATTTATCAGAAGTTTAAATGATGAACTTATCTTGAGATGGTTATCTATCCTAATTTATTCATAATTCAGTTCTTCATTACTTCAGTTCGTTTCAGTTGTTTTTTTACTTTGATCTTCTCCTCAGTTCAATTTGTTTCGATCGATTTGTTTTGTTTCTAATATTGCCCATTAGTATAAGTTATATTTATATTTTATACCCAAGCAGTCAGAAATGAAAAAATAACACGTTATAACAGACACTTTTCGTTTTTCTTTCAATGTATTGTAGACTTCGACAAATGTCCAAATTTTCGCGTTTTAACAGTTGATATTATTTTCACTTTAACATCGTGAGAAGGAGTGGAAAGAGAAACATTTAACCATGTTAATGAAGTAACTGTATTAAAACGCAAAAATTCGGACATTTGTTGAAGTGTACAAGGCGTTCGAAGCAAACATTTTAACGACTGAGTTACACTGTCTGTTTAAATGAGTTTTCGAGTTATATTTTATTATTGAAGGTTTTGTATTATAAGTAGTAAAAGATTTGACATATTTGGATCAAATTACAGGTCTCATTGCGAAATTAACTAAACCCAAACTCAAACGCCCAAACCCAAACTCAATACTCAAACCCAAACTCAATACCCAAACTCAAATACCCAAACCCAAATTGAATACTCAAACTCACCAAACCCAAACCGTTTGGATTTGGTGCATGCCTATATGTAGATCAGCACTAATTTCAAGAGAAAAATTTGATGATGGCTTCATCGAAGTTTTCATTTGAAATTACGTCATGTAAAATAGTCATTCGTTCATCATCACATTGGATATTAATTTAGCATCATTATTAAGTAATTGTTTCATTAATAAAGTACTGTTCATACGTATTGGCCTCATATACGTAATCGTGTCCACGAATTAGGATCAATTGTATTTATAGGATGTCCTTCTACAATCAATTGTATTTATAGGATGTCCTTCTACAATCAATTGTTTAACATGTATAATATTATCTGTTTTTATTAGTTGATGCACCAATGGGTCACTTTTATCATTACGTGTATAGATCGAAGATACATTTTATAATATTGGTTTTTCTATGATTAACAGTTGGTTTTTCCTAATTATCAATTTCTTCTTCAGTATCCGTCTCTTGTTCCTTTTGGTTTTTTTAATTTGGTTGTTTCAACAGGTTTAGAATCATATATTATATGATAAACTTTTCGTGCTAAACAAACTAATTTGATTTTTTCCTTCACTATTGTCGTTTACTTTCTTTCAAATGGGAGCTATTACTTTTTTACCAGCAATTAGACAGTTATTGTTGATGGTGCATCAATATCTTGAGTTTTTTTTTTATTTTTGAACATAAATCTTTTTTTCTTTTAAAATCATCAATATAAAAAATCATTTAAAAATATGTTTGAATATTTATTATACGTGTAGTTCTTCGTCCGGACCCGGTTCCTCTTCATCATCGCCTCGTTCTTGGCTTCCGGTTTGTTGATAACCATGTACCTCTACCAATAAAGAAAAATTTTTAGTCAATCAAAGTATTTAATGTTAGCTTACGTGCAGGAACACTGACACCAGGATCTGGCTCAACTGTCTCATAAGAATATAAACCCTGTGCGTTTATATTTTGTCCAATTGCTTCTCTTAAACCGATAGTATATTCATCATCAGTATATAAACGATGTGAAATTCTAAACGAAAAAAAAAACCAATTATCTCTTTAATTTTTGCATTTACTGACCGGTAGTTCTTTAGTGCTATTGTACCAACAATTGCACCAACAACACCAATAATAGCTGACACAAACAATTTCTTCATGTAACTATCCATGATTAATCAAATCTAAAATATACAATATACAGATGTAAAAATATCGCAACAATACGAGACGATTAAAAATCTAAAACGCAATGTTCATATGTACATTATAGAAGACAATGACTAGATAATTCGATTGGATAAGACAGTATTATTAAGGTTCCTCCAGCCTCTCAAAAAAAGTTTATTTTCGTCACAAAGGTCCAAATTAAGTTAAATACATAGAAGGATGCCCGATGTGTGATCTTTCACAAACAACATGATTTTTTATTTTGGCGCCTCGATTTGCGCCCAAATCGTTGATGATGACTGCCGTCTACTGATTAAAAAGTATAGGCTTCAACCATTAACCAATATTTAGCTAAACCATTAAAAACTAATACCGTAAGACGACTTATCTATTTCATTTTGAAACAGACACTTACAATACTAAAGACTGCTCGCAATGAAATCGGACAAGAAGACGTGAAATATTTTACTGATGTACTAAAAGCTAATTTAGTGAGATTGATATTTTATAGATCAATGGCATATTGATGTCCATCATTCAACATAGACCCTTATAGATTTGAATCTTACATTGAACTGAATCAGTGATCAATGAGTACAATATCTGGCTAGTGCATTAGAAAATAATACAGAGGAACACGGCTTTTTTCACACATTTTGTAGGTTATCGTAATCAATCAAATCAATTTCTGACAATACTGAATATGACCCGAAATAACATCATCGATGAAGGAGTACTATATTTAGCTTGCGCATTACAAAAAGAATACATTAACAAGAAAGTTCTTTAATATTTTATTTAATATGAATATTTTTCATTCAAAATAGATCATCACAGCCTTGTATGTTTCTAATAACAAAATTGGATATTAAGAGGAACGCTTTCTTGCTAATCTATTAGCAAAGCATAATGTAAAACAAACTCTTTATTCATTTGTTATATACATAACACATATTCTTTACATAAGATATTCAAAAAATTGTATCTTCAATTGTATAAAATCGAAGACAAAGGAGCACAATGTATTATTAACTCTTTTGAAATTAATATAGTGAAACTATTTACTATTTATTTCTCTCATACATTCTAATGCTGTTCTACACAGACACTAGAAACGTTGATTTTGTGTCATAATAAAATTAGTGAAGAAGTACAACATAATTTAACAAATATATTAAAAAATAAAATTTTGCGAGTATATTGGTGGTAAACAGTAATCAACAAGCGTCATGTGAAATACATTACTGTAGTTTTTTTTTCTTCAAATTGTATGGTGCTCTATTCTTTACAAGAATGTTTTTATATCTTTCTAACAGAATTATACAGACCAAGAGAAAAGTAGAATTAATTACATTAATGTTCATATAATTGCATTGATCGTCTCTTTCGAGTAATGCACGTTAACATTGTTCAAGCTATGTTTTTGTTTAACAATGAGTGTACTTTCTCAGTTTAATTGTCAAAAAGATTCTATTCAGTGAATATTATTTCGACTTGAGACCTTTAAACTAAGGATCTGCAGGGCTACTCTATCTTCAGTGGGTGTGATATCTTCTCTGATGGCGTAAAATTTGCGTTAAATGCCACGTTGTTACGAGATAATCCTTTTTTCGTAAACAACAGGGTCGTCGAACACATAAATGTGGAGAATCGTCGAAGTATTAGTCAGTTATAAAAAATAATGGACCTTGAAGAAAGAGAATAGTAGTATTCATCCTGGCCGTGCAAGCTTTTTCTAGCTTAGTGATACTCCTAGAATATGAAATTACATCTTTCACTAGTGCACGTATTACTCAGCGCCAAACCAGCGCTAAGAATTGTTTTCTGACCAAGATCGGGACCAAAACGGTTGGTTCTACCCATCACTAAGAAAAGTAGAGGCGTTCCAGGTTATGAGAGTGTTTGGGTTAGAAGCTTTTCACAAATTTTTAATTACTTTGATTGAAGTCAATTTTTTCCTTGAAAGTTTTTATATATTCTTTAAAACTCGTCTTTCGATCTCCCAACATTACTTAAGGGCTCTCCCTCTCAGAAAATCCGGTTTTTCGAGAACAGCTGAAAGTTGACATTTCACCACAGAAAGATGCAGCGAAATTTCCTCTTTCAGAATATATATATAGCATTTTGCAAAACGACCAAATTTTAACAGACTTTCGAAGTAAATTTCGACCCTACTATCATGATTTTTCAGAAATTTTCATGGTTTTTAAAAAGTTTTCCAGTTTTGAGAAAACTGTCTATTTATTTGTATCACCATTGAATCAATCATTATATTTACTTAAGTATGACTTGTAGTGGTACTCTAAATTTTAATACGACTTTTCTTGTATTTCAATGAAAAAATCGGTTTCTAAAGTTTTTTATCGTTTTTCTCAAAATATGATTTTCAGGCAGGAAAATTGAAATAACTCCTGCTAGGCTCGGAGTATCATCGATATTTTTTTATTTTATTTTAAAGGTCTGAATGAGAGCTAACTTTTGATCGGATGGATTTTTGATACTAAATTCCAGAAGTAAGAAAAGTGAGATTTACTGTCGTGGAGTGACATTTTTTTGTGCTTATTTGGAACATCATGCCCACCAAAAGGCTCATAAAAAATGAACGGAAGGGAGTTTCAAAATTCTGTTCGGTGAAAAGTTGCGCACAGAGGCAAGATTTAATTTGAAACCAGTCCGAGCTCTGTGCCTCTTATAATGATGGAGTTATTTCGATTCTTCTGGAAGGTATAAAAACAAGCCGAAAGTTCGATTTAATAGGGTATATCAGGCTGAAATTTTTACCACAGGCGTTTCTCACTAGGACCATTCATTGCTGAAAGTTTCAGTCCAAACGACCCGTTCTAAGTGGTAAATCAATTCTGAGGGTGACCCTTAATATCGGCACGGGACTTAAAGGTACTCGGTTAAAAATGGAATAGGTCAAGATCGCAAGTAGCTACCAATCAGCAGTTTTCAGCACTCGAAAGAGAAAACATGGAAGTATCTTTTTCTTCAATAATATATAGGACCAAATCATTTTGAAATGGATGATTTCTGCAAAGTACTCAAAAAAAATCTATCAAAATGATCGGTCACTCTGATAAAATAAGCAAATTTTCTTATTCTTTCTCAAAATTCCATCAGAAAGACAAACTATTTTCATACATTTTTTTGAATATTTTTCGGAAATCATTGGTTTCAAAATGATTTTCTCCTATATATATTATTGGAGAAAAAGATGTTTTCATGTCTTCTCTTTCAATTACTGAAAACCCCAGATTGATAGCTGTTTGCGTTCTCGGCTTATTCAATTTTTAACCGAGTACGTTTAAGTCCCATGTCGACATTAGTAATAATAATAATAATTTATTCTGCTCAGGAGATCTGAAAAACCAACCTTTGTAGTGTATTTAACAACTCGCTGTGATCTATCATTTGAGCATATATGCAATCCGAAAGTGATTGAATAGTTGGGGATGTTGTCTCATGAAATCACACTTATTTTTGTCCCTTTAAAACTCTAAAATTTCTTTCCGAATCCTCAAAATCATTTTAGTTTTTCAACGTAATCTTTAAAAATCCTATGAAAATAGATCGAACACAATAGAAGCCGAAAGATCTTCGGTTTTCCCAAGGTATTTACGTCATTTGCCGATAGAATCAATTGAAAATATGTGAGAAAAAAACTTATCAATGTAGTTCCGTTACAATTGAAGTGTGCAATTCTTGTGTCCTTTAGCTTCATTCTTTTATTATAAAATACGTCGAGTGAAAAATCTCTCGAAGACTATAGTTGTTTTTGTTTACTGAAGCTTTTTTTCTGACTTTAACATTATTATAATTCTAATTATTGATTTAAATATCAAATAAATCTGTTCTATATATATATTCATGATACCTATGTCGGAAACAGGTCTCAACACACAATTATATCTCTCGAAAGTCTCATAAACACTCATATTGATTACGTTGCAAAGTTCAAACTCGATCAGTTCTTAATATTTATGTTGATCATATGACGATCGAGCCGAATCGATCGAACATTGCCTCTCATCGTTGACATATTGAATATAATTGTTTATCTCTAATAAAATAAGAAACTGTACCATTTCGAATGTTTACAAATGTATTTCATTCATTTCATCTTCAAATAAGACTTTGGAATGCTTTAGAACATACAATGACTTTTCCTAATTTAAACTTGCTCTGACTATCTTTTTTCCGAAAAAAATTTTTCAATTCCAGAAAAATAAAGAGTTTTAGTTAATATTTGAATAAATTGTTAGTGATTATATTGAATAACAAACAATGTAATATAAATCTATATATCTATATATATAAAGAAGAATGTTTGTCTGTTTGTTTGTTTGTCTGTTCGCTATGCATTCCCAAACGATACGAGCAAATGCAACCAAACTTTCCAAGAATGTTCCTCTCACCCAGGGGAAGGTCGAGGTCTACTTTTTTTTCAAAAAAGTTGGTCCTTCGCCCGGAAAAACCTGCCTATATTGCTAACCAATCAGATTGCAGTATTCAGTATTGTAGAAGTACTGTTGAGTACCACTTCGTGAACACACAGAAATAAGGAACCAGAGGTTTTCGAGGATGGTGAGTTCGAATCTGGTGTCCATTTGCCTCGAAATTTGATTGATTGTTTGGAAACCAATAGGAACTCAGCTCTTCAGAAAACAGATCCAAACGCTTATACTTTCAAGGAAATGATGGAGTAGGGGTTTTTAGACGTGATAAGTTCGAATATGAGGTCCATTCGCCTTGAAATCTGATTGGTTGCTTGGAAACCAATAGGAATTCAGCTCTTAAAAAAACAGAGTCAAACACTTATACTTTCAAGGAAATGATGGGACAGGGGGTTTTTCGAGGCGGTAAGTTCGAATGTGTGGTTCATTCGTCTCGAAATCTGATTGGTTGTTTCGAAACCAATAGGAATTCAGCTCTTAAGAAAACAGAGCTAAACACTTATACTTTCAGGAAAATGATGGGGTAGGGGGGTTTTAGAGGCGGTGAGTTCGAATTTGAGACCCATTCGCCTCGAAATCTGATTGGTTATTTCGAAACCAATAGGAATTCAGCTCTTAAGGAAACAGACCCAAACACTTATACTTTCAAAGAAATGATAGGGCAGGGGATTTTTTGAGGCGGTGAGTTCGAATTCGAATGTGAGGTCTATTTTCCTTGAAATCTGATTGGTTGGCCGAAAACCAATAGGAATTTAGCTAATAAGAAACCCAGCTAATCAAAGTTGGGTTTTTAGGAGAGAAGTCAGGTAAGGGTTCTAGAGGCAATAAGTTCGATTTAGGGATCTAAGCACTGAATGTGGGTATAGGGTATGGAAGCGAGTATCTTCTGTTTATATAAATAACAATATTTGTCGGTCTGTTCTTTGTGCATTTGATTTCGGTAATAACTAGCGCTATCAAACTTTCCATGGTATGCTCTTTAGTCGAGAGAAAAATTGAGAGGAGATTGGCGCGACAGACAAGGAAAGGAAGGTAATTGGATGTAATGCCACCCAGGTTGTGAAAATTGGAAATTCTCTAATCTCTATCTCTAATATACGATACGAAAAATAATCTTGACACCCTGTGCAAAGAGTGAGCATGTATTCATACCACGAATACTCATACTTCTTACTGATATACCATTTGAATTCAAGCGTCTTCAGTTTCCTGTACGTCTTGCCTTCGCGATGTCTATCAACAAGACTCAAGAGTAATTACTTAAGGTGGCTGGTATTAATCTAGAGAGTCCTTGCTTTTCTCATGGCCAACTTAACGTAGCATGCTCAAGAGTTGGAACTGGGAAGAATTTGTATGTTTCAGACTCTGGTGCGAAAACCAAGATGGTTGTGTATCAAAAAGCTTTGCAATAGACGTTGTATTTCATTAAGCAGTCTTTTCCAATAAAAGGAAGTCGATCAAAAAAAAAGAACACTGAAAAGGATAGAAATGTTTTTAAAAAATTAAAAATGGTGAAAATATCAGTTGAAAAGGGAAAGTGATCTGAACATATTTTGCGATATCGAATTCCAATAGTTGATAGGTGATCATAACGACGTCTTTTTCTAATATGTCAAATATATATTATAAAATTATCTCGACTACCATTGGGTACCTCCGCTAGTATATATATATATCATACTGGAAAGAAAAAAAAATATACATTGGAAAATAAGTTAGCGTCATGACGTGACATCTATTGACGCTAACAATTATACAATAAAACACAAAGAAAAGAAGTTGCATATACATTTTCACCATCACTTATCATTTTGATTATATCATCATCGTTATTATTTTGCCTCTATCACCAATCATTATTATTTTGATTGTATCATCATCATTATTATTTTGCCTATATTACCATTATTATTTTGACTATATCATTATTATCATTTTGATTATATCATCATTATTATTATTTTGACTACATCATCATTATTATTTTGATTATATCATCATCATTATTTTGACTATATCATCATCATTATTATTTTGACTATATCATCATCATTATTATTTTGATTATATCATCATCATTATTTTAACTATATCACCATTATTATTTTAACTATATCACCATTATTATCATTTTGATCATATCATTATCATTTTGACTATATCACTATCACTTATCATTTTGATTATATTGACCATTTTTGTTATAAAATGACAACGAACAAAAGAAAACGAATAATTGCTATTGATAGTTATGAATTCGAAGGATTTGTACGAACTCATCTTTCAAAAGATTTAGCCGATACATTAATTCTCAAACTTGGCATCAGATCGTATAATGGTTTTGTTAAATGTGATGATTTAAATGGGGAATTACTTGCAGTTCATGATTCTATACATGAACAAGATCGATTAAATATATTTTTATATAATGATACATTATCTTCATCAACACCAAATGGAATAAAAAAGGGTATTTTACGGGAGCTTCAACTTTTTCAAGAAGAATGCAAAAAGCAAATCAACAATAAAAAAGAGAATGGAATCAATTCAGGTATAGATATAGACTAATACACAGAGATCAATGATAAGCGTAGTGGACGTTTTTGAATCAAAGTTTTCCAAAAAAATATTTGTAAAATTGTTGTTTTCGAAAAAGTCAGCATCCATTTATTTTCGAGAAATCACAATAATATTGGGAAAAACTTTTTTAATGCCCTATGCCCAATATTTTTTATGCATAACAATACGCTTGTCCTATGTTTATTGGTTTATTAAGCCTTTTTTAAAACATAACAACACAAAATAACGTTATTTACTAAGCGTAAAAGCTACAGAATTCATTAGTTTCGAATATTTTGATTCATAAAAACGTTAAAAAGTTGTTTTTTTTTGAAAAAAAAAACACAAGAAAAATATTTTATAGGTAAATATATTTCGTACTCTGAGAAAAATGAATTCTATTTAGTATAAGTATGACTTTCATTGTATATTCTTCAAAAATTCGCTAAGACAAACAATATCCATTAAATAATGTATGAGTTTCATAAGAGTTTTTCTTCATTTTTATCGAGCATGTATTAGCTAGCTAAAATTTATAACTATGAAATACTAGCAGAACTGAAATCGATCCAGACTTTCAATTTAAAGGCAGATGGGGCGGCCTATTACCTTACAGGTCATAAGAGTTTAAAGGAGAGCAAACATTTTCTTTACTGAAAAATAGGTGGTACAATTTATGTACCACCGCCCCCAAAGGGTTAATCTTCTGTCTGATGTTATTAAGAGTTGAAACATTTTCTATCTCGCTTGTTTCAGCCACTAAAACAAGTCGATTCACTAATAAAGCAGACTATTCATCTATGTTTCATAGCCACTTGAAAACTATTGAAGATAAACTGTTTTTTTTATCAAGAAGAAATAGGGTATATGTTGGGATCAAGCGAGTTGGTCTATTCATACTCAGATAGTATATTGGTTTCAAAATTTTCATTTATTTCATTAATAGGAAACAGCAGCAGTACCCAACCCGAATGTGAACCACATGATGCTTCAAAACGGTCAAAGAGACACTGTGATATTTGTCGAACAACTATGTGTAAACCTCGAACCAATGATACAATGAACGACGAAAAATTCAAATATCGAGAAGTATGTCGCTTATTTTATGTTTCATTATGGTTTTTACCTCTGATCTTATTCTATATTGTAGAAACCAATTACAAATGAAGATAGTGGAACGGATTGGTCTTTCCATCAAGATGAATTGTTAAATTATGAAACACACTCTGATGATTTGAAAATTGTCGATGATTTTATTGTTAAAGAAGCAACACACATTTATGTTACTCAACAGCGAATTCATCATTTTTTCCATAAACACATGTATATCAAGTCTGACGGTAAACATCTGTTTTATTTTTGTTTATTAACAGTGGCATCTAAATATAATTTTATTTTGAAACCTCATGCCATTAGATTTTTGAAAAAAAGACACAAATGCTAAGAGGTTTCTGCGAAGTGTGATCTGTTTTTTTTTAATTGATCTTCACTTGATGAAACCCTGTTGTGTTATTTGGTATACTATCAAAGTGATTTTTCAAATGTTTCTGTCTTAAAAGCATAAGCAGATGCTATTCTTACCAGCAACATCTATATGAGATCTTAAAGTAATTAATAAATCCAGAATATTTCTAACATGATATAGTGCAGAACCGAATAAGGAACATAATTATCACACGATCATTGAAACTATTAACATAACCTTGCCATTTCTCCAAGAACTACTTCACTCAAAATAATAGAAAGTAGAACAAGCAAAACTTGTACAGACTAAAGTATATTTTTTACAGAAACTTGTTCTAACAAGAAGTATCTAATTCAATAGTCAACTAAATTTATAACGTTTTGATCCATATAAACTATCGTAAAAGGATCCATTGCTTCGAAACCATGCATCAACTACTTTACTGCAGTAGAATCTGCTAACAACGAAGTGCATGATACAGGAGCTAACAACTTAACAACTGAGCATGTTTAGAATAACATTCTAACAATTATAGTAAACCGCATTAAAGACAATACTCATGATAGGCTTTTTTTATTCGTTTACGAAGTGACAAGCTTCGTTGTACAACATAAAAAGAATCTTGGTAAAAATTTTCAAAACTTGAGAACATGCTTTCGAAATAAAGGGAAACATCAGATTTCAAGACATGAGATATCATAATTTTTTTTTCGAATTTCATAATGTTGTGTAGTCTACTGCTTTATCTTTGACTCGAATTCAGAAGTACTTTATACTCTTTTTCCTTAATAGATTTATTATCAGAAACATGTTTTTGTTAGGAACCAGAGAAAAATAAGAGAATTTAGGAAACCCACTAAATAATTATAAAAGTTGCTCATGAAAAAACATTCACTATCACACAACTTTGACTTCTCACGTCCGAATCGCAGTTCGACTCATATAGTTTGTTTTGATTGCTCTAAAGATTTTCGTAGAAACACATCTAAGAGTTGTAAAACTCTGAGTTCCGTCATCTCTAAGAAGCTGCCTGTGTGTTTCAAACTAGACGTGACGTATTATTTATCTGTCGAGATATCATCATTGGTGTATATAAAACTTTCCGAGTATTTGTCGTAATCCACGCTTAAAACAGAACTACTGAGATATTGTACACTATAATTCATTTTTTCCTGAAGAAAGTTCTCTTTTCTCAACCTGTTATATGAACGATAGTTCTCTGTCTTTTTCTAACAAGAAATGTTTCTGTTACGACACAATAGCATAATATGTCATGCGGTTAATGGAAACACAAAATAGTATACATTTTCAAGTTTTGATGAGCAAGACTTTTCTTGTTTTTACACTACGCTAAAAATATCCGTTTCTAAACACTCTGTTTCTATTAAATTATTTTATACTGCAAATAAATTGTTCTTTGTATTATTATGATATTGAGGTTATATTGGTCGACAAAGTTGTAACTTCTATATGACATATACATGTGAAAAAATTCTGGCATTTTAGATGTTTTTCTTGTTGTAGATATACAAAAGTTTGTATTCCTGCTACAATCCACACTTGAATGGCATTTAGAACAATTATATGAATATACAATGAAAACTCGAACTATAAAAGTATTGTTTGATCAATTCGTCAATGAATATCACAAATTCAATTTGGAAAAGCATGATGGCATGAAAAAAAAAGTTGATTGGCTTGTTCATTTTATCCAAAAAACAAAATATGTAAATTTTTTTTCATCTCTCTGTAGTCCTACATCCTGCCTGACATATTCTTGTTTTTTGTTGCAGAAACCAAGTGGCTATAATGATCGATAGAACAATTTTCTGCTTATATGTATTTGGATATCGAATGATGGTGAAATAAAATTTATATTTTTTTTCTATTTTATATGTGCAACAAACTAATTTGAGAAATAAATTTTTGATTTCTATGTCTGATATATTCTTCTTTGCTTCTTAACATTCGAAAATCCATCATATTAATATAGTAATCAGCTACCAATAGTTGGAAGTATGGAATGATCAAAATAAAACTATATTCATTTTACCCTGAGTGAAGAAATAAAGAGTTGCTATACTTTAATGAGTCTTGTCCTCTGTGAATTTGTTGGATTCCTAATATGCATGATGATTTTGGTCACCAGAGTAATGCACCTGATTACTTATCAACGGAATATTTATTCAGAAATTCTGTTTTGTTTGATGATGGACACTGACAGACAATGTTATTCACATGAGTGTGAAACAACATTGGAAAAATTTTAGTATGAACTTCAGTATATAGCACGATATTATGAATGAATTTGATATAATTTTAGTTTACCAAGGAACTTTCTCACTTGTCACGATGGTTTTCGTTTAAGACTATTGCCATTCGATCGACCATGATGATTAGTTAAAAACTCTCTTTCGATTTGACTTTCTGGTCTTCGCTTGAGGAGATATACATCCGCTTTATTTGATTTTGTCCTATGCAAGCGTAGAATCGCTGAGAATTTGAATGATCAGGTTTTGAGCTGAAAATTTGTCGAACGATAGGCCATATAGTTACTACGTAGAAATTCCACAAAACTTTAACCAAAATGAATATGTCATTATAATGATATATATATTTTAAAGAAACTCGTGCTCTTTAGGCTGTATTTCAAAGGAAAGAGATTTTCATGACAAGTTGCTACCTTGATACAGATGTATTTGTCCTAGCTCAAAATCAAATAGACTATAGTTTTTGGTACCAATGAATGTCAATATAGAAGTATTTTGTTTTCATTGTAAAAGTGCATTTGTATGAAGTGGATATCAAGTTGGTTTTATAAATACCATAAAAGTGTTGTGTATTTAATAATTGTAATTGGTTGTGTTAACTATGTCGATATACTTCACTATAAATATCTTTTTCATGGTAACCAAGCTTTTGTAAAGAATTCTGATTTTTTTTTAATGACAATATCAATCAAATACTTTTCTCACCTTAAAGATAAACTCTTAACAAAATTCATCGATGGGTCTAGCAATGTTATTTAAAAGGTTAGAATATTTTGTGAATATTTTTATGAAAAAATGTTTATTTACTACTGTAAGATTCGATTTTCGTAAATATTCTTTGAAAAATCGACTCTCTTATTAAAAGAGCTGATGGAACAAGTTTGAAAATTAGATTTTCATTTTTATCTGGTGAATTTCGAGTTATTTAAATTTTTTGTCAATTAGTCTTGTTATTTTGCAAAAAATTCAAATTCTTTCTATCACATAAAATTGATTCATTCATATATATAAACTTTTCGCAGCGGGTGTCTCATATATGGGACGGTGACATGTTTCTTTTGATATAAGTGTCAAATCGTACTCGAAACTGCAATTTGATACTAGTACTTAACGGGTTCTGTCTATTACTATGAGAGGCGGATTTAAAGAGATCGAAGTCATACAGCTAAGACGCACTTTTGATGCAAAACTTTCAACGCCCGTTCATGGTTTGCTTAAAAAATCTTGAAAAAAGTAAGTCTGTTTTTTTTGGCCTGTAGGACTTATACTTATGCACTCTTTTCCCTTTCTTTCCTTCTACCAGTGTTATAGTATGGCATCATCACACTTTCACGGTTTGTGATCCGAAGCAGAAAACAAAAACGAGCCATGAATGCAGAAAATGCAATGTTGGCTTATGCGTAGCGCCCTGTTTTGAAACCTACTATATATCCAAATACTTCTAATAAAAATTATATTATAAAGAGCAAAAGTCCCATTGGATGCTGAAGCTTCTACCAATGAAAAAGACCACTTCGACTCTCAGGCGCTCAAGATTTCTACAGATTGTAATAAGGACTACTTTTTCATTAAATATGAACAAGTTTCTCACTAAAAATAACCCCGCTGCGAAAGGGTTAAAAGTTTGATCACTATTTATTTCCTATTTAATAAAGTATGAGCTTATAAATACAATATGAAAATATTTTCACCCGAGCTGTTTAAATATAACTGATGAGAATGATAGCAGAAATGTTTGTCTCCCTATTATTCGTAGAAAAGAGTCTATAGATAGAAAAAAGCGATGAATGCATTACTAATAATATAGCTCATCATCAATAGGTTTGATCTAATAATAAGAATACGAGCTATCTTAAATGGTTTAAATGGTGTTATTCAAATCCCGGTGGTAGTAATCATTACGGTTCGTCAATATTGATTGAAGATAATGAAAATATGTGTTAGCACAAATCATTACACTATTAAAGCCAGATTTGAATCGCTTTGGAAAGACATTATTCAAAATATAGAAATTTAAAATTATTGTTCAAAAATCATTCAAATCAATATAAAATAAATATTTCTTCAAATTTTTTTATTGCTTCAAAATGAAATTGAAAAAAAATCCTATAAATAGAACGTTTTCGATATAATAAAAATGATCAATCGGATTTATTTGACAAACTTATATTGAATCTCATATAAAAAGTAGCCAAAATATTCGTACAAATTGCCAATAATTCTAAAAATCATGTTTATAGTTTTGGGTGTAGGTGTTGGTCTTCACGTCACTCGCACCCACACTTACATTTACAGTCACAAGATCATAAGAAAGTTGAGAGTGTCAAAAAAATGTTGTCAACATCAACCGTGAATCTGGTAGTTCTCAAGTATATAATGACTATTAGTTCCATCAGACAACATAAAAAGAAAAGTCAAATATAGGATTTTTTTTACAACAGACTTCGCCCTATCGATTAGTATAACTACTAATAGTATAAATCATGTTAGCAAGTTAACAAACTGGACGAAGAAAATTTCCAAAACTCGATGTTTTTTGGTATACTTTAGTCTATGTCTCGTAAAGTTGAGTTATCAAAGTCATCAGGAGACTTCATGCACAAGGACTCAGCATACGAGTTTTATGGCTAGCTTTTTGTGCTCTTTCA